TACATTTTTTTTTTTATTTACATTCATTCACTGTACATCATTATAGCATACAAAATGAGATTTTTCCATTGAGAATACACTGTATATTGGCTCAATCAAGCACATCAACATATGTGTTATTGTCAACAAATCATTTTCCATTTCTTGTTTTCTGTATATTTTGCCTTTTTTCCCATCCTTGATTCCCTATCTCACCCTCTGCCATCTCCCACCCTCCTCCCACACTGTGTCTGGTATCTATTGTTGCTTTCTATGCCTCCCCCATTTTATTGTTTCACTAAATATCTTAATAAATCTAAATATTTTCAATAGCAAGCACAGCTGATATGTACATATCCATGAACACAAGACTGACTTTAGGCATAAACCTCAGTGAATAGAATGAACATACTATAACGTAGCACCTAACTAGGGCTATATAGCTTAACTGCAGTCATCAAATAGGTATTTCTAATGCCTTTTTTTTTTTTCTTCTGAAAATTTTTTTTTTTTATTAATTTACATTCATTCCCTGAGCATCATCACAACATTCTAAATGTGGTTTCCCATCTAGAATATACTATATAGTGGCTTAATAATGCATGTTATCATCCATAATATTCCATTTCTACTTTCATATATATGTTTTTTTACCCCATGTCTAGCCCTCTGCCCTATTCCACTCTCTTATTACACTATCTCTGCTGTCTACAGTTGTCTTCAATCCCTTTTCCCCCAACATTTCGTTGGTCACACAATATCATAAGTAATCTAACTACTTTCAATAGCAAGATCAGCCGATGGTTTCAAGAAAAGCAGTTTTGAACTGGTAAGGATATTTCTTTGAAACTTAAAGCCTAGAAACAGGTTAGTATTCTGTTCAAATAGTCGGAACATGAATCTATTGATAGCTGAAGACAGGACAAAAGTCCTTAAAACCAGACAACAAAGCTTAGAAGAAAAGCAGCAATATTTTAGTCAAGTCGTAGAATACTGTTTCATCAGTTCAGTCTCATGTACTTAATCTTTCTTCTGTATCTGTTGAGGTTCGATGTTCCAGATTGAAATCTGGGATGTAATACTCAACTCCAGCTTTTGGCCCTACAATTAAGTTGCCCATTTTCTTAGTTTCTGAACTCTTATTTCTGTGTGTCTGCATTTAATTTTACTGACATAGCACTCCCTTAAGAACTTCTTGGAGATCCGGTCTGGTGCTGGTAAATTCTTTCAGGTTTTGTTTATCTGGGAAAGTTCGTGTCTTTTCTTCCCAAATGAACGATAACCTTGCTGGGTACAGAATTCTCGGTTGAAATTGCTTTTCCCTTAATACTTTGAATACATTTTCCCATTCTCTCCTCGCTCTCATTGTTTCCGATGAGAGGTCTGCCGTTAGTCTGATGGGATACCCTTTGTAGGTAACTTGCCTTTTTTCTCTTGCCAGTCTTAGTATCTTGTCTTTGTCTGTGGTTTTGGTCAATCTGGCTATAATGTGTCTTGGAGAAGATCTTCTTGGGTTGATTCTATTTGGGGTCCTCTGTATTTCTTGGGACTGAATCTTTGAGTGCCTCTCCAGGTTTGGAAAATTTTCTTGTAAGATTTCATGGAATAGATTATCAATGCCCTTATGAGTCTCTTCACCTTCTGGGATGCCTATTATCCGGATGTTTGGACGTTTGATGGTATCTAGTACTTCTCGCATATTATTCTCAAATTTTTGGGCCATTTTCTCAGTCTTCGCGGTGGATTTTTCTAGGCCAACCATTTTCTCTTCTACATTAGAGATTCTATTTTCTGTATGATCTAGTCTGCTTTTAATACTTTCAAGGGAGATTTTGACTTCTTGTATTATAGCCTTCATCTCTAACAGTTCCATCTGATTCTTTTGTAAAGTGTGAAATTCCTCTTTTAGATCTTG